TATATATATATATATATATATATATATATATATATATATATATATATATAATTTCACACACTTTGGGATGCCAGCCTCTGGAAAAAAAATAAAAAATCAGCTGTGTCTCATTATCCAGCTTGACCAATGGCAACACTGCCCTCTATGGATGAAAGCAGTAAATGGTCTCTCCTGTTGGACTCCAGCTGTGTTGGGCTGAGGACAGCACAGGTTTGAAGTCAGGGCAAGTTGTTATGGATCAGCTCAGAACAGGAGAACATGATCGACCTTCAGAAGAGAGGATTTCTGTGACGCCTCAGCAGATTCCTTTCAAATGTTTAGCTACTAGCAAATCACTTTCAGGCATTAGACTTATTCAACTGGCACCTCTGTCTCCAGCTGTTAACACTGCAAACATCTGCAGCAAAAAACAATCAAACAATGAATCATTGTACATGATAGACAATAATAAAATAAGGGTTTGCACTTGTACCTTGCAGTCCGCCTTGATCCAATCAGGTAAAAAACAACAACACAAGAAACCACTGTGACAGCTCATATAAAGCACAGTGTTCACAGCACTTCAGGTGTTAATCGCCACGAATGGCTGACTACACATACGGCATGTAATGTTCTGATCAGGATGGTGAAGAGCATTAACAACCTGATGTTGAGCCTATCTAGGTCAGCTGAGCAAGATGTGAGGTTGTCATCGTTCTACACATAAAATAGGTCAGGTTAACGAGAGTGGGGTTTCATCATGCATCTCACACTCAATCACTTCTCACCACAAAACATCAAGAATGCTGAGTCTGTGAACCACTTGGCCAGGAACTGCACGGTGCTTGCCATAGCACTTTTGTGTGGGACTTAAAAAGATATGATCCTGTGCCACATATGTATAGTTATGAAACAAGGCCTGGAGGTGCAGGTTTGAACTAAAATATTAGCGATTTAAATTAAATGTTGTTTATGGGGAGAACTTCCCAGCAGAACACCTGGAAAATCTAACTAAAGTTCTTTAATTTAAAAAATAACCTTGCGGTGGGAGTGGTGTGTCAATGAAATGCATTGCATCACTTTAGTAATGATACGCAGAAGCCCACTTGCCACATAAAACCCTCTGTTATACAGGTACTGTCCAATGGCGTTCCAGTTTATTTCATAATCTGAAGTTTAATTGTTGGGTTTGCCTGCAGTGACGCAATAGTGAATTTCCTGTCCTCAATTTGTGAGCCACCAATTACAAACGACACCACTAGGACCACAGGCATATAAATACAAGTACGTACAAGTACTGGTGATGAGTTTAGTAAGTTTTCTGCATGTTCAACAAGATGACTCCCGCAGGGATCACCATGACGACCATTCTCCTCTTCTTCATAGTGGGAATACTCGGTCCAGCTCCAGCTACCAGTAAGTTTTCCTACACTGTTAGAATAAAACACATCTGATACAGATAATTTGCTTATCTTGTTAATGTTTTTTATGTATTTTAGGTTCCCGTCTGAGCAAAACTTGTTGTACACGATACAATAAGAAACCCGTGCCCTTTGCTCGTATAAAGGGCTACAGAGAACAAACCACCGAGGAAAACTGCCGTATTGATGCAATCATGTAAGACTCTCTATTCAAACAGTCTTATTTAAGTTTTGGTCATTGAAAGTAAATTCATTGAGAGGATTTATTCCCAATTACTCAAAAAAATTTTGGTAGTTGAACGTTTTCTTTGAGTTGTAGCTCTGCAACTATTTACACGATTAGTTAAAACTCAGTGCTGGGAAAATATTTATTTTATCCAGTTTGAGGATTTTTGCCATTTTAATTTTATGACTTTTAAACGGCAGCTGAAAAATGTACATGAAATTAATATGGCTAACTTTAGAATTTCTTTAACAGTAGAAAAAAAAAACTTTTTACACAAAAATGTTGCCTTTAAAACTTTTATATTTCATTATATATAAATTCCTTAAATACATCCATGATGTGATGCATCAACAAACAATAACTAGTCAGATATTAAACATGAATCCGCACTCATTTCAGCTTAAATAAAATTATTCTTGTACATTTTTTTTAAAGATGTTCAATTTGCTAACAATGAGTTTATTACCACTGCATTGTAGGAAACGTGCACTTCTTTAGAAAATGACAAAAAAAAGTATTTTTAATTTTTTTTAAATCATCAGAAGAAGTTAAATTACACAAATAGTTTCAAATCAGATGCATTAACTCTATGAACATGTGTTTGATCATATTTTTCATCGTTCCAGCTTCTACACCATTAATAACTATGAGGTTTGTGCGACTCGTCAGGATGAATGGGTGAAAAACGTCCTGTTTCTTCTCAGGTACGAGCTGTTGACTTAACTCATGATATCACCTAGTTTCAGATAAGACCTCAAGAGTCACAACAGGAATGTAAGAGTTTCATTTTAGGAACCTTTTGATGAAGAACTGCTTCTTTTTTTTTAGCTCAAAACTGAAGAACATGTCCAAAACCACCAAAAACACAAAAGAGGTGACGGGAAAATCTGAAATTACTTCGACGCACGATGGAAGTGGAGCTTCCTTCAACACAGCAGACGTCTTCGACAGTGAAAATTCTCATTAGCAAAACAAACAAACAACAAAAATAACCTAGTTATAATTTGAAACCACTGCTTCTGTGCTACAAAAATGCAAATTGAAGAAAACTGCTAGAAAAGGGAACTTTCTGTAGCCAGGTTATGTCAAAGCATTTACCCGTTTTTATGTATGTTTGCATTTTTATTTTGCTTTTTGCTTCTAGAAACTCAGTTGCATCAATTTATCACCAAAACTCAACGGCAACTTGAAAGAAAAGCTTGACACGCCAACTTCAGTTTTTAAAATTGCATTGAAAATGTTTGCAAAAGTCTGCTTTTTATGATTTTTTTGTAAGTATATAATTATTTACTACTTTTACTTCATCCAATTAATATTCTAAAATCATTCATCTAAGCTTATCCACAAATAAATTTTTATTGAGTTTCTGCATTTTTGTTCATTTTATTTCATCAAAGTGAATTTAATGGTAACCTTTAATGAAGCGGCTTCTGTTCAGGAAACATTTTTGAAACAATATAAGATATTTTTAAGGGGCATACTAACTAACTTGTGATTAGAAGTTACATTATTGAAATGAACACTGAAAAAAAATAAATAAAAAAAGTCCATGCTCAATAATCCAGGTATACAATCCAACAATTTTCAGTCAAGTCATCTGAACAGTTTCTTTTTTTTGCTGAAACGTTTCACCTTCCATCCGGAAGGCTTCATCAGTCGTGGAAACACACAACACAAACCTGATTCTTCCCCCAACAGCTTACTCCAAAGTGGAACAAACCAGTTATGTTGGTGCTAAGACGGTGTCTTTGCCACGCCCCCTCCTCTGATGCCGGCCCTCTTCCTCATCGACAGTCATATCAAACTGGTTCAAAAGAAACTGTCCAGATGACCTGACTGAAAATTGTTGGATTGTATACCTGGATTATAGAGCATGGACTATTTTGGTTTTGAACCAGTTTGACATGACTGTCGATGAGGAAGAGGGCCAGCATCGGAGGAGGGGGTGTGCCAAAGACACCATCTTAGCACCAACATAACTAGTTTGTTCCACTTTTGGAGTAAGCTGTTTGGGGGAAGAATAAGTTTTGTGTTGTGCATTTCCTTGCCTGATGAAGCCTTCCGGATGGAAGGTGAAACGTTTCAGCAGAAAAAAAAAAACTGTCCAGATGATCTGACTGAAAATTGTTAGACTGAAAAAAAAAACAACTATTAAAAACTACAAATAAATGGACTGTACTTATATAGCTCCTTTCTATCTTATCAAGATACTCAAAGCTCTTTACACTACAATCTGTGCCCTTATTTACCCATTCATACAGAGCTCTACTAGATCTATACAAAGAATAATCAGTGCTTCATCACATTCATGCACCGATGGGACACACATCGGACACAATGAGGGGTTCAGTGTCTTGCCCAGGGACACTTCGGCATGCTGGTGGAATCAGCCACAGCCGCCCAATACAAGAGTACATACAAGGTGATGCATTCTGCATTTGTTTTTGTTTCTGATGATCCATTCGATCTTATATGTTCAGAAACTGCTGCTCTGGATGCTTTCACTCTTCACCAACAGAGTTTATTGAGAAATGGAGAAAATATGCAGCCAGCAGATCTGTCAGTAAACTCTTCAGTCTTCTTCTTCTTCTTCTGACCGCTGAGGTTTCCCAAATGAGACTGCGAGGAGGCAGTTTCTATTTCAGATCAACACCCAAAGGGGTTGGCATCCCAGTCTGCCAAGGTGACACGCTGATGCACAGTAGCAGTTTAAAGTTCCCACTAGATGGCAGACAAATCTTATGGAAACCAGGCTTCAGAACCAGTCACATTTAAAAAAAAAAAAAAAAAAAAGTGCATGTGTTCTAAATCCTGGTTAAAAATATTTTGTTTAAATAAGTTTATTTTATTTTGTATTAATTACAAATCAAGTGGTTGTCAATTCTGTCTGCATTGACACTGAAACACGCAGAATTTGCATGAGAAAAGCTTTCAGTCTAAACGTTATAAAGTGATCTGAAATATCAGGAGATTAAAACAATCAAGGTTCAAAAGGACTTTTTTGTCATTTGCATCACATGTGGTACGTGAGGTGGAACAAAACTGTGTACTCAAGGTCTCAGTTACACCCAAAAAAGCAAAAATAAAAAGTATAAAAAAGAAACTGTATACAAGGATCTAAGATATAAGGTAAACAACAATAATATTTATATAATGTGGTATATTGAACAGCAGCCTGAACATGAGTCTCTTGTGAGCAGATGAGTATGAATACAGCAGCTTATGGGTAAGAAATCAGCAGCATGGATAATCAGCAGCACAGATAAAGTGTCAAATCTCCAATTAAGATTAAGGTTCAGGATTAAGATGAGAATAAGAGCAATTTTGACTGAGCCATGAACCGCATTTATATAAAAAAGAAAACAAAAACAAACCAACAATCTAAAGTAAATATAGTTGTGAATTTGCATAACTTCACAAGTGAAGTGATGAATCAGTTTGTGTGAATGGAAATATTTAGGGGTGGCACGGTGGCTCAGTTGATAGAGCTGTTGCCTCTCAGTGAGAGAGTCACTGATTCAAATCCTGGCCTGGGACCATTCTGGGTGGAGTTTGCACGTTCTCTCCGTGCATGTGTGCATTTTCTCCAGGTACTCCAGTTTCCTCCCACAGACCAAAAATATGCATGTTAGACTGATTGGTAACTGTAAATTGTCCCTAGGCGTGAGTGAGAGAGTGAATGCTTGTTTGTCTCATTTGTCCCTGTGTCCAGGGTGTCCCCTGCCTCTCTCACAGTGATTGCTGGACATGGGCACCAGTGAGCCCCATGACCCGAAAAGGAAGAAGCGGGCGGGTAAAAGGTAATGGATGGCTAGAAAAATTTAGGACCAGCATCTGAATTCACTGGTGGTAGGAGATCAAGTAAGATGACTTCTATAAAAGCTGAATCCTCTAAAGCAAAAACAACGTAGCAGATTCACAGGTTTATCAATGCTGTGTACATCTTTTATGTGTCTTTATAATAAATAAAAAGACACTATGCAACCTGCAGGAAAGCACTTGGAAAAAAAGCACTGTCCACAACAACCCTAAGATACTAGAGACTTACTGTATTCTAAATCTGAAGCACGGTGGAGTGAGCATCATTTCTGAAAATATGTTAAAATTGTCTTTTTTCAGCTAAAATAAAAATAAACTATCCATTCAGCTGCAGCTCCTCTGTCCACTCAAATGTCATCTGGCACCAAAAATGGCAGCGTGCCTAAAGTTTAATGTCTTTGTCCAGCAAGGACAAGAATATATAGAAATCTCTGCAAGCTATTTTAAGGCTGTGGCTGAGTGGTTAGAGCAATCATCCTCCAATGGGAGAGTTGGGGGTTTGATTCCAACTTGCTGAAGTGTCCCTGGGCAAGACACTGAACACTTCATTGCCTCTGATGTGTGTCCCATCAATGTATGAAAGTGATAAAGCACTGATTAGTCTTTGTATAGACATAAATTGCTGTATGAATGGTAAATGAGGGCACATATTGTATTGTAAAGCTCTTTGAGTATCTTAAGAAATAAAGGTGCCATATAAGTGCAGTCTATTTATCATTTGTCATTTTTTTAAACTTTATTTATTTACTTCCTGATTTGTATTTCAGGATATAATAATGCAGAGGTAGGATGACAGAGTTTACATGCTTCCCCCTACATGTAAACCTGAGAATAACCATCAAATACAATGATCAAATCAGTAAATGTGGATAGATAACAAGATGGTTTATTTAATTTAGTTGAGAACACAAGACAGCATTTATCTGTCACTCTGTGCTGCACATCACATACATTTTGTATCTTTAAGACTTGTATTCACAAAATACATCGCTAAACAGCAGAAGTAAGACATCATAAAGTTACAACTAATGGATAAATATAGTTAAAAATAAATATTAAATATTAAACCCATTACCAGGCATTTTAAATTAATTATAGATTGATGTAGTTTAGGTCATTTTTTTGTTTTTCAGGACGATGAGGCGTTCAGTCAAAGAACTGGTGGTGGTGGTTGTTGTTGCAGATGTAGTCTTCTTTGCTTTGCGAGCCTGCCTGTAAAATACACAAATAATAGACTTTTAAAAAAACATTAGTGTGCATTGCATTATGTGGAGGTAATAAGCCATTTGAAATTTATTCTGATTAAAATTATACTCACTCAAGCTCCTTGATCTTTTCGGCCACCCAGTCCTGTTTCCAGTGGCTGCAGACCTCTCCCTTTGTCGTGATAAATCTGTGCAGAGAAAACAGTTATAGTCCAAAAAATATGTCCAGATTATTACTGGATGAGAAAATAGTACAGCCGTTTTTTTTATACCATAAGTCAATAATTCTTACATGACTGCACGGATACAATGTAGGTTCTTCTTCTGGATCCTGTAGCCAATGATTGGGTCTGTAACGCTCTTCACACTGACCACAGTGCAGCAATTTGAAATCTTTATTTCTGTTTGTATGAAGAAAAGGTTATAAAAATTGTACTAACTGTATACAAGAATGTTAAAATAGTGATGAATCTTCAAGAAAAAAAACTTACCAGAGGTTGATGCTGCCATTACTAAAGCCCCTGCGAGGAGGACGAGGCACGTCAGTCTGACACTCAGCTGCATGGTTGGTTCAGGGAGTTTCTGCAAATGCTGCTCAGTGGATCTGCTTGATGAATTCAACTGGACTCCTCACAACAGACCACCAGATTTTATGCTGTGAAATGAGGAAGTGAGACAATCCAAACGGATGAACTTTAACTGTAACATGAGGGTGTGTCGGGATTTGGTAAATGATGCTCTGGATCACACTGCAGGCTCTTAGTTCCCTTTTTGAGATTTCATCACCAACCAGACCATAGTTAAGATTCTCCAAGAGATATGCACTGTTAGAACTTATAAATTAAACTAGATATCTACAGCACACAAATGCTTATGAATATGAATATATTTTATATTCATTGTCACAATAATTCAACTGTTTGGAAGACATCAAGGAAGCATT